ATAACAGTTGTTAGACTTCGGCGCGCAGCTTAGACCAGACAACACCAGACCAAACGGTTCGGGGGTCGGGGGGGGGGGGGGGGTATTCAGGGTAGAGGGCAAAGGTAGCGGGAGAGAAACAGAAGAAGATGGAAGAAGAGATGAGAGGAGAGAGAAAGAAGAGAGAGGAAGAAGAGAAGTAGAGGCCAGCCATGACCACGTGGAGAGAGGGGGAAGGGAAGCGGGGAGAGGGGAGGGGACAGAAAGAAGCTAGAGGCAAGAGAGCAAGAGAACAAGAGAGAGAGGAGGAGGCAAGCAGCCCCTTTTATAGTGGGCAGGCCTACATGGCTGTTGCCAGGTAACTGTGGGGAGGAGCATACCTAGCTGTTGCCAGATAACTGTGGAGGTGGAGTTTAGACAGCATACTAACAACAGTAATAAGTGACAAAGAGTACCTGAAAAGTCTCCTCCCCACACTTGTGTGTGTGTGTGCGCGTGTGTATTTGATGAGTGTCCTTGTGTGTTATAGCATGTGTTTGGGGGAGGTCAGACAATCTCAGTTGCTTCACTTTCTGCCTTGTTTCTGCATAGGCAAAGTCAACTGACCTCCGAGCTCCAGGCAGTTTTCCTGTCTTCATTTCTTAGGAGAAATAGGATTATAGACGTCTGCTACCATGACTGGCTTTTACATGGGCGCTGGGCAGCAGGGGGAGGGGGGAGGGGGAGGGGGTGTTGAACGCAGGGCTTCATATCTGCACAGCAGGCATTTTAGCCTCTGAGTCAGCCCCTCAGCTCCCACAAGGATCTCTTCTAACAGTTTCACATATGAAGGTTTCATTTACAGAAACTGGGCTCTCAGTGTTAAATGCCATTCCTCTGTTACTCATTCAACTAGGGAAGATGGCTGTGCTTGAAAATTATAAACAATAACATTCATCTTATAGAACTTGCAAAATGCAAAAATGCAAAATGTTTTGTAAAAATCATCTGTAATCCAAACGGTGCCCCTGAGAACACTGTCAATATCATAGCTTATGTTTTAGATGTATACCCACACATCAAAATCAGAGCAGGTATATCATTTGTATCTTATTTTACTTATATAAACATTGGTGATTAATAATTAATAATGATTAATGGCTATACCATTATAATTTCTATGAAAATATTGGGGAAATCTGGGGGGGGGAGCAAAATGCCCTGGCTGATTTATTGGAAGCAGTAGATTGAGCAGAGGGCCTCATACCCTATCTGAGCTATATCCTCAACCTGTATGGTTTTTTATGGATGCATCACATGTTCTGACTCATGAATCTGCTATAATTCACTGATTGCTTCTCCTACATTGGAAATTTCTCTTTCTGCTTTAGAGACCTATATGCCAAAGACCTGACACCTGGTGTGTTGACTCCGGCCCACCCCAGCTTCTTGTCTGCCATAACTCTGATTTAATTGAAAATTTTTTTGAGACAGGTTTTCTCTGTGTAGCCCTGGCTGTCCTGCAGCTCTGTAGACCAGGCTGGCCTTCACTTCAGAGATCTGCCTGCCTCTGCCTCCTGAGTGCTGGATTAAAGGCGTGTATTATCACACCTGGCTAGTTTAAATTCTTATTCTCTGAATAGAAACTGGGTGATAGAAGACAATTCAGGAAACAACTGGCCCTTGTGTATAACTGTTTGTTTGTTTGTTTTTGTTTTTTTCCAGACAGGGTTTCTCTGTGTAGTCCTGGCTGTCCTGGAACTCACTCTGTAGACCAGGCTGGCCTCGAACTCAGAAATCCGCCTGCCTCTGCCTCCCAAGTGCTGGGATTAAAGGCGTGCGCCACCACCGCCCGGCTGTGTATAACTTTTGAGCTCCAATTTCTCCCCTACACCAGACTAATCATGTTGCTAGCAACTCAAAGGTAGATTCTTGAAATTACAGCCACTATCTAGGAATTCCTAGTCAGCTAGGTAAACCAGAAGGCTGGCCATAGATATTTAAATTGAAAAAAAAAATCTCCAACTAGCTGGTAAAACTAGTGTAAAACCTCAGACAGGAGGAGTTTGGATATCATATCCCAGAGACTCCCACATAGCATCACTACCTCGCAACAGTGTCTTCCTACAGAAGATGGATCCTAACTGGAACCTGCTTGACTATATTTGGACCCCACTCATTATCTTTTAGCTAGGTGTGACATATTTACTTTAATAATGGTCTTCCAAGTGTTTTGAATGACAATGTTATAGAACATACAAAGATGGAATGGACTCATCCTACAGCTCTCTGTGATTTCTACCTAATGCAGTGAAAAGGGTCTGGGGTGTAGCTCAGTTGGTAGAGCGCTTGCTGGCCACACACAAAATAGAGGTTTCTGGTACAGACCTATAATCCCATCAGTTAGGAGGTAGAGGCAGGTGGACCAGGAATTCAAGGCCATCCTTAGCTGCATAGCAAGTTTGAGGTTGGATTGGGTTACATGAAATCCTATTTCAAATAAAATAAAGTCACACAAATACAACCAGATAAAATTAAACCAAGAAAGCTGCTGATTTCTCCTATTAAAGTGTAGTATAATTAAACAAAAATCAAATCTTGTGTGGTTATGCACACCTTTAACCCCACCACTAAGAAGGCAGAAACACATGGATCTATGACTTCAAGGCTAGCCTCCTCTCTATAGAGGGAGTTTCCGGCCAGCCAGGCTCTGTGTGTGTGTGTGTGGGGGGGGGGGGGGTGGTGGGGGGGGGGCGGGGGGGGTGGGGGGGGTGGTGGTGGAAATCATAGCATCTACCCTCTCCCACAGCCATTTCTGGTTGGATGCTAAGTCATTGTAACATGTCAACATTTTGGTTTTGATGAAGGACTTCAAACTGCTTTGTGTGTCAAGTTGGTTATAGTAAGAGAAGGAAAAACAAAGTAACAGCTGCAAGAAGCAAAAACAACTCAGCGCCAGGAGCCTTTCAATCATATATTTCCCTGTTAGTACTTGTCTTTTGAACAATTCCTTGCTTAGAGAACCTCAGCCTCAGGACCAACAGCAAAAGAGTTTAAATGCAAAATAGATGTGACATCCTTGACTATGGAAGCCGCTTGCAAAGGTGCTGAATCAGGATTCTGCAGGCTGTATCAATGTTTCATGATTATACCTTTGTCTTCCTGTCCTTGTTTCTGTCCCTCCCAGGAGAGATGGTGACCTCTGGCCCATCAGTGCCTATGTTTCTCTGAGAAGGGTTGCCTAACAATGCCCAGAGCTGTTCATTTCCTGTTCTCATAGGCTTATCCAGCTCTTTGCTGTCACTGAATTTAGTTTTTCAGCAAGCCCATTGTCTTGCATTATTAATATACAATTAAGTACATTACAGCTATTGTGAACAAATAAAGAGCTACAGAGGTATTGAAGTGGGAAGATTCATTTCAACCAGGAGGAAAGAGGTAATTGTTTTCAAGGACAAGGGCTGGTACAGGTTTCTGTGGAGTGGTGATGAAGAGCAATAATCAATGATGATGTGAAGCTCTTGAGTCTGGGTCAATGAGAATTTGTTAAGTAAATGAACTCCTAACTGGGTTAACAGCAATATGAAAGCTATTTCCAATACAGCAAGAGAAATGAAACAACTTGCGGGCTGTGTAGAAGGTTGAATTTGGTTGTAGATTCTTGTGTAAGGGTGCCTGTGGACAAGATATGAAAATTGGTTCAGACGGGCTCTTTTCTGAGGTCAGGTGAGAGTTTATGGGGTATCAGCAAGGTAAGGACTGTACATTCCCCCCACCCCAGACAGGATTTCATGTATATCTGGCTTGCCTCCTGAAATTATCTGAGGGTAATCTTGACCTTCTGATCCTCCAGCCTTGCCTCCTGAGTGTCAGGATTACAGGTCTGCAACATTGTGTACTTTTATCTACTGCTGGTTTTGAATCTAACAAACAGTCTATAGAATCATCCCTAAAGTGACCTTTGTGTCAGATTATACCTATTCACACAAGTAACATCATTTTCTGGTTAAACGATTTGGTCAACTAGTGGAGCTATGGGAGCCTATGACTTCTCAGCACTAATTTAGGCTGGTTTTGTTACTATCTTCACTCCCTTAGCCATTAACAATGGTCACTATTGGTACCAGGAGAAGCAAGGTATCATTTGGGGGATAGCATCAACAAGTTAGAACGACCAAGGGGATTGGGGGGGGGCAATCGGGTTGAAAGGTCAAATGAAGAAGAGTAAAGGAAGGTTCCCACAGGATCTGTCCCCTCTTTGTCTTCTTGAAATATCTAAGGTAGACTGTAGACTTGGAACAACAAATGCCAGCATAAGGAGGGCTAAATTTCAGTGTGGGGTGGTGGTGGTGAAAGGGAAAACATTTTCAACTTAGAGAGTGTGTGTCCTGAATAAGAGAAGGAAAGGGTGGCCTGCAAAAAGGTTGATGAATTCCAAACAGGCAGTCCAGTTTGGGGCATGGCTGTCCTGACTTAAGCAGGGAGTTTTCAGTGAGGAATCCCAGGGTAGGTTGGGAATGACATGCTAGTATTCGACAGCGTGGGAAGGCCCAACTAGAATCCAAAAGGCGTAAGGTTAGGAAGTTCAAGGCAGGGACTCTCTGGCAGACAGTTGACAAAGAGGAGCCAAGGTCCTTTCCCTAGATGCTGGGAAAGCCCAGGTCCCGATGAATAGCTCCGGGTCCCACAAACTCTCCAGGCCCTTGGCACGGGAAGCGGAGGTTCCGGGACATTCCTGCCTGCACCATGCATCTGGGGGTTCCCTCCTCGGAGCTCCTTAGGCTCCGTATCCTTTACTTGCTCCTCCCTGGGTGCGAGAAAGGCATGCTCGCGCGAGTCCCCGCACTCCCCAGCAGCCTCCGCAGAGAGTCGGTTGCGGCCGCCAAGAGAGTGCTCGCCTAGCACCGGTGGCGGAGCGCACGGAACAGCTTAACGGTCCGGCATCCGCATCCGCACCCGCCCCGCCCGTCGGCGCCGCTGCCCCGCCCGCCTCTGCGTCATGACGCTGGCGCCCAACGCGGAAGCCGCCGGCCGCCTGGACCAGCCGCGGGCTGTGCGCCGAGCCGCGACGGGCGGGAGCCGGGCGGGGGCGCGAGGCGAGCGCAGCTGCAGCCTAGGCGGCGGAGCGCGCGGAGCGGGCGGAGCGAGCGCCCAGGACCAAGCGCGGGCGGAGCGGGGCTGGAGCAGGCGCGCAGCGGCGGCCGCCCCGGGGGATGCGGCTGCCTCCCTGGGCTGGCGTGTAGGGAGGGCGGGTCCCCGGCCTCGGCGGCGCGGCGGTGGAGGGGACCGAGACTGCGGCCATGGCGACCCCCGGCAACCTGGGGTCCTCTGTCCTGGCGAGCAAGACTAAGACGAAGAAGAAGCACTTCGTGGCTCAGAAAGTGAAGCTGTTCCGGGCCAGCGACCCGCTGCTCAGCGTGCTCATGTGGGGGGTCAACCACTCGGTAAGGCTCCTCTGCGGCGCGCTCCTCTTGCTCCTCGGGCTCAGCCTCCCAGCTCTGCTCCTCCTGCTGCAGCGGTGGCAGGGCGTGGACCTCTAGCCGGCTGGCTCGGCCGGTCCCGGGCCCTCTGGCCACTCGCCTCTTGGGGTACCCCTAACCCCACGACATGCGTCCGTCTCTTGGGCTTCTCCAGCGGCGCTTGCGCTCCCTTTGGAACCCAGGAATGGTGCGGGATGAGAAGCATTCGCTATGCTGTGCTTCTGAGCCTCTCTGCGCCTGTCCTGCCCCGCATCGGTCAGTGCTTCCTGCCCGGAAAGTGGGAAGTTTGTGCGGGGACCTTCTCCGTCTCAGCTATCAGTCCCGGCGGGGATTGTTCAGGGCCCAGTCCGAACGATCGCTCCACTTTTCTGGGACCGATGAGCCCTCCAGTCCTCAGCCGGTAGGCAGGTGTACCTGTCCCTATCAGGAAGCGTCCGGAGCTTCTCCGCGACAGGACTAGAGTGAAACAGAAGATTTTGGGCGGCAGCTTGAGATCTTAGCTTTCTTTTTTCCTTTAAAGGCAGTATTGTCGGACTCTAGGAGAATTTGTGTGTGTGTGTGGGGGGGGGCGCAAAGAAAAAAACGCATCGTAAATATGGCCCTGGTGCTGAGCGTCTTCTCTTCATCCCTTCCCTCATCGCCCAGCTGCTGTGCCCTTTCCAGACCTCCTGGCGGGGAGTCTTCCTCCCTCCCCCCCTTGCCTCCCCCCTCCTTGGGGATCCAGGTAGAAGTCACTGACTGCGGAAGGGCGGCCTTGGTGGTGACAGCCGGAGGGGGTCCGGGCGGGCGCGAGTTCGAGGTGGTCTAGAGTTAATTGTATCCATTTGGGAGATGGTTTAAAAGGTTGGCGGAGAGCGCGTTGGGGAGGTTAGCTTAGCGCACAGCCAGGGATGCAAGGAGGCGCGCGGCTGCGGACTCTGCGGACTGCGGTGTAGGGGGCTGAAATAGCTTCCTGCTGATCTGACAGCGAGAAAACTCCTACAGCTTTAATCTACTTAGATGGGATCAGGAAACATGATAGGCGCTGTTGGCTGAGCCATGAAAGTTTCAATGAGCTTGTGAATTTTGACCGTGACCTTACCCACTGCAGTCAGCCAGCTTTGGAGGCAGAGCGTAAGCCTGCTGCTCTGCTTTTGATTTTGGTGGATGCCCTGGTGTCCTTTTCAGCATAATAGAAGTGACAGAAAGCCAGCGTGGTTTTTGCACTCTCAAATTAACAGAGTTGTTTAAAATGGCTCAGTATCTTTTATTTATAGTTTCTCCCTAAGTGGAGCTGGAGAAAGGTGAAGCAATATGAAGATGATTGTGTTTATCTGGAACGATTTAAAGAGTTGAGAAATCTATTACTTTACTGCTGGATCTACCAAGGTTCATTTTACCGACATCTTTAGTTGTTAGGAATGTCATCTGTTAAAACAGCAATGACCCCCCCCCCGCCCCAGTTTTATTTCAGAAAGTGAAGTTACAGTTTTCCATTGTCATAAGCCTCTAGGTATGTTTGATTTTTTTGTAAAGTTCTTTTTGTTATTTACGTTACTTTTAGCAGCTTTCTATTTACTGCAACGGTATGGTAAATACCAGTTGAGCGTGGACCCATGTTTACAGGGCCCTTTCCAACCTCCTTTCAGAGTTCTGGTGTTTTGGTCAGGAGTGTTTATATGTTTGTCTAGGTTTAATATAGTAAAGTAGTGGCAACAATATGCTTCTAGGGGTGGGGGAAGAGTGACTGATAATGTCTGGAAAAAGTTGCCATTGGGTGCTCTTAACTGTAACATTTGGGTTGCTACCTTGTGCTTATTTTTGAGTTGCTACATTTGTTTTCCAGTTACTCTACTTGGAAAATACGGAGTGAATGATGATAGGAACACTGTTACTTTCTGTTGCTCTGAAGAATAGTTACTGGTTCTAAGTATATACACTGTCAGCATATCGTATCATGTAAGCATGTTATTCATTCAACACATACCAGCACATGCAGAGCCTGCTACAGTGGGGAGGGATGCTAAAAATGACTCTCCCTCTCATCCACGTGCCTTTATTTTGAGAAATGTGAGCTGACATAAGACAGTTATGTTTCTTCATTTTTCTTTTTTTTCTTTTTTTTTTTTTCTTTTTTTCTTTTTTCTTTTTCTTTTTTGGTTTTTCGAGACAGGGTTTCTCTGTATAGCTCTGGCTGTCCTGGAACTCACTCTGTAGACCAGGCTGGCCTCGAACTCTCGAACTCAGAAATCCGCCTGCCTCTACCTCCCAAGTGCTGGGATTAAAGGCGTGCGCCACCACTGCCCGGCTTCATTTTTCTAACAATGTATTTTTTTTAAAAAATACCCCTCCCCCCATGCTTGGAAGTCATGTATTTCTGGTTGGTTTTTTTTTTAGGAAATGATTATTGGTACCAGGAAGATGTTTTACCATGCTTTTGTGCACCAAAGTTTATAGAATAATATTAAAATAAGTAAATCCACATTATCAATAATGAGCATGTATATAAATGGGGACATTTGAGAAAGCATGGGAGAGAGGCAGATAATTCAAATCAGAGCCGTCCCCCTGTAATTCTAGTGTAACTAGGATTAGCAAGGAGAATCTTACCATGGGTATAAGCAATTTTTTTGCTTTTAAAATTCCATTAGATTTTTTTACTGGATATTTAAAGCAACCATAAATTTTGGAGCACTGAAGGGAAGCCATACATTTTTGTCATGTGAGTGTCTATGGTGGAGTCTGTGTTTGAATTCTTCAACTGTGACTTGACATATAAACCAGTTTTGGGGATCTGTGTTTGTAACTGGGAAATGGGATTGTTGGACTCAATGAGTTGCAGTTTTTTTTTAATTTGATGACTCAACTATTTTTACAGCTTAATAGTTGAATAGCATCATATTAGGAGTCCTAGTGTATGCAGTGACCTTTGGGGATTTTTCAAAGCCTAGACTGGAAGAGGGAGAAATCTGTGGTGATTTTTTTTTTTTTTTTGGACACTGAACTGACTAACTTCTTTGCCATCTATTAAATCAAAGTCTATTTGATTGAAATGTAGAAACTTACAATTAAGGTGAAAACTTTCCAATCCGTTGTAGTGGTAATGAAAAAAATCTTGATTTGGGTGGTGCTCCGTGTAGAGAATAAGCCTGCCATTGTGCGCTTAATTTGATATGTCACTGCTTTCTAACTTAAAGTCTCCATCAGTGAGTGGATCTTTGCCAATTTTTATTTTAAGCATTTTAAGCAGAGAATATAATTGAATACATAAAGGAAAAGATGACTTAAGGAGGCAGCTTTATCTTGTTACATTTGAAATTAAACTAAGAATGATCAGGCAGTTAGCTTCTTAAAGTGGTATTTTAATAGTGCAGGGAGTATGTTGAATGCTTTGAGCCAAGGTTTGTTTTAAATAGATAGTCTAAAAGATTTGTAGACACGGTGTGAAATGTGAGCTCTTTGGAGATTAGTATTTCAAACTCTATTTAGATATATGAAGGAAGACAGCAGTGTTATTTGTATGAAGAAACTTATGTAAAACAAATACAGTTTTTAGAAATAGCTACTTTATTGCTTTTAGAGCATTGTGGCTTCAAGCCATAGAAATACAAATAAGTTACAGGAAAATTCTTAAGTATTATGGGAATTTTGGAGATAGTCACAGTATAAGAAGGATGGGAAGCAGAGCATGCTAAGAACCAGGTACTGTGATACAGTCTGATTTTCCTATCCAACCTGGCTTTATATACTTTACTTGGTTCATAGCTGGCTGAGAAACTGTGGGACTGGGAACTGTTGACCTCCTAATTTCAACTTGTCATTTCTGCTCTCCAAAAGAATGGTCTGTTTTACAATTCAGGCCTGGAAATACCACTGAAGAGCTTGACTTGTCTGGATTCAATCAGTTGTAGTTTCGTCTTGAACTAAGTTAGTTAGGAGTATGCAGGAAAAGAGCCCCTAGAGAGAGTTCCAAATAGCTGGGTGGGGAGACATCTGCCCTAGGAATAGAGTTGGTGTTGATCTTCATGCCTGTGGGGATCTGCTCAGGCCAGACTTCTGACAACATGTCTTGTCATGTGTGGATTAGAGAAAGCGAAGTTTTCCATTTGGGACATCTGAAACGTTCGTTTTATTCTCAACAAGGTGGGGACTGAAGATAGGTAATACTGTATACCAGAAATGTAATTTCTTGTGGGTTCCATGGGTTGATATTTGGATATAGACAAAAGGAGGAGGAGGAGGCTAGGTTTATAAGTGGTGTGGATTACTATGGAATGATAATGACTGAAAAATGACATGATGAGGCAATTAAAATATAAAGAAGCTAGATATTAGACAGAGCTCACCAAGTGGAACCCAACCCGCCATGCATTCCAGAGCTAGCCCCACACCGTTTTCCCTTTACTTTTCAGAGGAAAAAAACAGTCACACATGGCAATTTACTATTTAGGCAGTAGCTTAGTGTTCCCTTCAAAGATGTGATTATTATCTTTTTCTCCACTAGTCAAACACCTTAGCATGTTGTTAGTGTTCAGAGTGCTGCCCAAAGGCAGGGTGATCTGCTATGCCTTTAGAAAGACTGCCAAGACGAACTGCAATAAACCAACAGAATCTGTGTTGATAGAACATGCGGTCATCTTGAGCAGTTAATTTTGCCAGCATGTCCTTGAAATACATAAATTGACACTGACAGGAGTTGGTGCAACTTAGAAGGATGGTTTGTGGTCCGGCTGATTAGGATCAATTCCTGTTTCATTGTTTATGGGTTTTTAAGCAGCTGGTTTACCCACTTGAGTCTCAGTTTATGTATCCTTAACATGGACGATTGCCTCACGGAACTATTTTGAGGGTTAAATGAGACAATGTATCCAAAGCCTAGTGGTAGGTAATTAGGATTCAGTAAATGCTTCCTTAAACTGACCAAATTTAAATGCAGTTATGTAGGCTGTAATTTGTGGATGATAGCCTTATCTGTTCCTGTTCTA